CTTAAGTGATGCACACAATCGCTAAAAATAAGACTCTGATCTGCTTTCGCAATGGACCTTAAAAGTCTACGCGTGGCCTTTTTAGTCTGCCAGTATAACCTAATACCTAGTAGATCACATAGCTCGAACTTTAAAAGTACTTTGAGTGGCTGATAATACGTCCTGGATTTACTTGTCTTACTTGTTGACTACCAAAAACCACTAACAACTTTCTTTGCGTTTCACTGTACGTAATGAATATCTTATAGCCCGACTTCCTTAGGAAATGTAGAATTAAATTAACTACATCTATTAACTACTATATTAACTACTTCAATATCAATTTTAATGTTCATCTTTGCATTCGAGACTATTTTTAATTATACCGTAAATCAAACATTTTAAATAATTACGAAGTATAGATATAGCATAATCATAAGTACAGTACTCGTTATGATTTAATTGTATGTAATTAATAATCTTCTTAGTATTTATTTTGCTGTTAATAAATAATTATTTTGAAAATTATAAAATCATTTTAATATATCATTAATATATCATTCATTTTAATATAGTAATAACTACTATATTAACTACTTCAATATCAATTTTAATGTTCATCTTTGCATTCGAGACTATTTTTAATTATACCGTAAATCAAACATTTTAAATAATTACGAAGTATAGATATAGCATAATCATAAGTACAGTACTCGTTATGATTTAATTGTATGTAATTAATAATCTTCTTAGTATTTATTTTGCTGTTAATAAATAATTATTTTGAAAATTATAAAATCATTTTAATAAATAAATACTTATAAATATTATTAATACTTAAGAAATTATTTTATATAAAACTATTTACACACCAGAATAAATGAATTGCTTTCAAAAATTGAAATATGCAAACAAAAAAATATAAAAAATTCTTTAAATGTTCAAGTTTTAAATTATGAAATCGCTTTTACAAATATGTACTTATAAATGTTATTAATAATTAAGACATTTTTTATATAAAATTCTTTACAAACATAAATAAATGAACTGCTTTTATATATTAAAATATTTCAAAAAGAAAATATAAAAAATTCTATAAATTTTAATTGTAAAAAACTTATTACTTCATTATGTACTTTCCAATATAATTATTAACTTTAATAAACAAATGCCAAAGAATTGATTAATTTCAAAATTAAAACAATAATCAAAAATCAAAAATCAAAAATCGGACCGAAAATATTCCTGACTCACAAAAGAACTGCAGTCCAAAGCAGCTTTATCGGAACCAACAACAGCCAACCGTAGCGTTTTTGCAAACCAAATCAAAGCAAAGTTTAAAAAAATAATAATAAATTATTTAAAGCACATATTTGCACATACGAATGTATCTTTTACAATTAATGCATAAACAAAAATATTTCATTGAAGTTTTCTACAATCAGAAAAGTGCAAATCTCAACCAAAAAATCACAATTAAAAAATGAATGAAAATAAATTCGTTGCTTGCGCATTGCAGCGATGTGCGTATTTCGAGAGCAGAGGCGTCCACGGAGGATTTCGTTGGGCGCGACATAATATTTTAATTGTGCTAAATTAGATGTTTTTAATACATTCTAAATATTTTAAATACACTATTGCTATAGATTTTCAACTAATTAAAATAAATCGATCAACTAAGCTGTATACGAGTATTCAACTGTATGCGATCATTCCAACAAATATTCCTGAAAAGTTCGTGTCCTAGATTCCATTTACGTATCAGAAAACCTAACATAGAGAATAGAACTATGATGTAAGTTTTCTTCAAGTTAACAGAATTAATTTATGATTCTGTGAGATAATGCCTGATTATAAGTAGGGTCTTGTGACTTATTTAATATTGTTGGCTATTATTTTTTTTCTATTATTTTCTATATTTTCTATCGGTTAAAGCGAAGTTATTTGTCACTTCAATTTTACGAATAAACAAGTCCATACTTAGAGTTCTTTCAAATAATAACAGTGGTGTATATGCAAAACACATACATTTCAATACATTACCCCATACTCCATGTTTATTATTTAAAAGGCTAAAGTGAATTTTGTTTTAGACCTATAAGTGGGATGTATATTAGTTATTTAAGAGATCTTAGAAGATTTTTGTTGTTGTATAAGTGGGTTGTAAATTTCTTATATAAAACGTCCATGAAAATTTCATTTCGGATCTATCACTAGGTTGTTTATAGGTATCTATAACTGAACTAAGTATGAGTATTATATACTATAAGTGTTAGTGCAAAGCTTATTGTAATTGATATAATGTTTATTAAAATTAATTTAATATTAAATTCATTTTTTTAAATTCATTTCATAGAAACACATAAATGATATATGAAGATATTTTTAATGTCTGATTAAACTCTTATATTTAAATAAGAATTTCAAAATTTCAATTACCCAAAATGCAAAATTATCTGTTGCATGGTAATTTTCCGTTTTATTTTATGCGAATTATTTAATTAAACGATTTTGATGTTTATGCCATGGAATTTAATTTTTCCTATAAAACACACCCTTCCCATTTTGCCAATACCAACACCAATATATTCTCGTTTGGCAATTTAATTGACCAAATAAAAATATGAATGAAAATCGAAATGTGTAACATAACTGCATTGAGACAGCTGATTTTGTAGTTAATTATTTAGTTGTGGTAGAGGCAGATATACACATCCACCAGATACATACATACTATATTTCAACCCACATACGAAATTTTATACAATAATATGGAAAACTTTTTATCTAGATATGTTTACGCAACAAAAACGCAAAATAAGCGTTGATGAATGAAATAAAGTTTTTATTTGCAATTAAAAAATGAACAAATAAAAAAACTATGAAGAAAGGAAAAAAGTATATAACATTGTTGTGAATAAAAAATTGCAAAAATTTTAAAAATAAAAAATATAATCAAAAAAAAAACATCAAAGAGAAAAACAAAAGCAAATTGCATAAAAATGCTCCGAACCGCAACGTTGCTTTTTGTTGCGTTTGCAACTGCTTAGTTAGCAACAATTGCTAGCAACAATAATTAAGCATAATATTAAGCTGCCAATACTGCCGCAAAGGTCGCCCGCCGATCGTCAGACGAAGCAGATGCCACCAAATTCCCCCTTCGACTTTCTTGAAACAACAAGATATGACAGCATATTCATAACGTGAAAAGCAAATTGAGGACGTACCAGCAAATACATGGGCAAGTGAAATGTTCTTGTACCAACAAAAAGGAAATTAAATAATATGAATCAAAATTATCGTAATAACGATAACAAAAATTACAACAACATTTCGATAGCAACATTATTTCAACTAAGCATCAACATACAAAATGCATGTTGCTGATGGTTGGAATTGCCCCTTTTTAAGATGCCTTCCAGTCTGAATGTCTGTCTATCCGATCATATAATATATTCATTTGCGTGTATTTTGAGTTAGTGAGCCTAATTTTAATTAATAAATACAGGGTGAGTTGCTTTGAAATATTATTTCTAATAAAAACAAGAAAGTTTTGTGATAATTGTCTTAGCAACATTTTACTAATTCACGATTAATATCGAAAAGGAACTTTCTGTATGAAAGTTTGAAAAAGAAAATTGTCAATGTTCTAATGTGAAATATTGTTAAAGAAATCTTTCCATAAAGGACTGAATTTTATTTGAAATTAAGTATCGTGTAGAAAATTAAAATTTGTTATTAATTAAAAAATATATCATCTTTCGTCATCCAGAAGCATAAATCATTCGATCTTGACAATTAAATTCTATAAAATTGATTGCTTAGCTTACATGATCCTTGCTAAGATCATGTAATATTAAACTTCGCCAATTTGATTGAGAAGACTAACGACTACGCATACCTATTTATATATTGAGCAACTTAACTGTTCTATAATATATTGATTACATCCCTGTGCTATTAATTAGTATTATTAATAAAACTATAATCCAGGATAAACTGATTACGATATGTATTTTACGTAAATTAACGACTAGGATCTGTATAGAATTATTGGTCATATTCTGCAGGATCACTTATACTGTTAAATGCTTTTATTAAATGTTAGACCATTGACTATAGTTATTACTTAGACACGCTGTATAGTTAAGCACATAACCAAATGTATCTGCATATTTAAAAATTTATACACGTATGTGCATAGATTTGTCAATGTGTTAGTGCACGTGTATATTTATATAATTATTTGCGGGTGTGTTGAATAAATTATTTCGGTCTGGTGAATATTAGCAGAGCGTGAAGTTAGCAAAAGGAAAACAAAAACTGTTTAAAAATTAAAGAAATTGCTTTTTAAAACCAAAGTAATTCATTTTGGTAGGAAAAAACCCCAGTAACACAATGAGAAGACAATACACTTACTACACTCACTACAGTCACTACACAAAAGAGTTGAGATGGCGTAGCGTAGATGATAAACTGCAGAGTTTTCCTCTATGATAAACTGAAGATCGTCATAGCTCTGCATGTGTTGCAGTAATCGCATTTTTTATTTCTTATGCAAATGACCGAAACTGATTTTTATCACTACAAATACTTGAATTTGCATACTTGCCAATTAATTACAATTGCACATAAGCAAACATACTTTAAGCAATATAGATACTACTGCACTCATACAATATCTCATACAACATACAACATCCAACTGAAACAATGAAAGCTTTAAATAAGAGCAAGTGAAGCAGCTGACATTTCCGTATCCGTTTAGAGTGACATTAGTGCATTTCTAAACTTTGTTCCTGAGTATACTTGAAGAAGATTTATGGTATGTCACATATTCGAATACATTTATATATATTTTTGAATTGTTTAGTTTTTGAAGCGGAATAACATAATATGTATAAATTGTTATTCTTCTTTTTAAACATATCAAATTACTGAATATAATAAAAAAAAAATCAAATGATGTCTTTTATATGGTAAAAAGCCGGACCTTGTAAAAAGAAATGAAATCAACTCACCATAATTTTCGCTCACAGCATTTTTGACCGCTTCCACAACACGACGTGTCTTACGTATAGGTTGCCCAAGAATAGTAAAGTTGCTTGAATCGATTTGTTGCACAAACATCAAGTAGATGCGTCCCTGTTCTAATTCATCGCCGCGCACCAGGCCACGCGCCCGTAGCTGTTCGCGATAAATATCGCATTCTCCGCTGCTGTTGCGATAGGCAAACTGTAACCTCAGGAATTGTTGCATTATACAACCTATTTGTTGCTTGAAGATTTGCTTCACCTCTACAGTAGCTGAGAAATTGGCACGCCTGTCGGATGTCATTGAAATAATTTTGCCCTCAAAAACTGTGGGCGCTTCGAACGCCAACTGTGCAGGATCTCGCGCTGAGCAATATCGTCGCGCGTGCTGCTTTCGCTGTCTTTGACGATAATGTTGCTGATGCTGTTGCTGGTGCGTGTGATGTTTATGGAGTAGATTAAAATTATTGCTGCCACTACGACTGTTGCTATTGCTATTGCTATTGTCATTGTTGTTATTATTATTATTGTGATGTTGTCGTGTTATTGGTTGTTGCTGCAATTGCTGAAATGGTTGCTGATCGTTATAAAAGTGTTGGTAACCACCACTGCTCGGCAAATTTTTAACAACACCAAACGCGCGTGAATCGCGGCGACTACGTGCGGCTTGTTGCTGCAACATACGGATGTGCCGTAGTTGCTGTTGATGCAGTAACATGCGACGTTGTTGTTCTGAAAGTTCGCCAGTAAATGGTAAGGATGCAGGAATTTCGTAAGATTCAATTATATAACGAAAGGGTATGAGTTTTGTGGTTGTATTTTTTAGATTTATTGCTGTTGGCTTGGGTAATGTTGGTGGTGTGGGGGTGAGTGCAGTGATAAGTTTACTTTGCACAGACGCATTTTCTCTTACGGGACTGTGATAGTTTTGTACAAATATTGAATGTCCCTGTGTATGTCGTCGTGTTTTGGTGCTGCGCGTATTACTCGAGGCTGGATATGAAGTCTGTTGATTTTGTGGCTTAAAATTATTGTAATTGTTTTGACTATTTAAACTATTTAATAAATTAATTATTTGACTATTTTCAAAATTTGGAACTTTGTTTTGTTGTTTTAGCTGGGAATATGAATTAGACTGAGCCTGCAAAGTTATTGAGTGGTCAGCAACATATCCAGCACTGCCATTTTCTTGTGTAGGATCCTCAGTTTCATCAATATCATCATCTATTTCCTCTTCAACATTCATTTTCTGTTTCATACTTTCATTGCTTTCACTGTTATTATCACTTTCTTCACTGTCGTCGTAATCATCATTATCATTTTCGTTATCAAGTGTTGATGCTTCATCAATATCGCCGTTATCATTCATGTTTTGTGGCTAAAAGTATAAGGGATATAAGATCAAGATATAAATTTCAACAAACAAATTTATTAACAAAATTCTTAAACAGAAATTTTAGTTGGTTTACAAAGTGATGACTTAAGTTTAATAGTTCCACAATTTAATTAAATTTAGTTTAATCAATTTAATTAAGTTTGTGCTTTTTAACTTGTAAAAACGTTTATAGATAATTACATTATTTATCTCTACATGTATTTATGATTTAAATACTTATTTTATAACTTTTTCCTAGTGGTGGATCAGTCAAGTAGGGAACTCATAGCAGAAAATTAAGTATAAAAATGTGAATCTGCTTCTATATACAAATATTGGCAAAAAAATACACAAAACTGGTTGGCGGAGGCTACTAAACGTGTAGCTAAGGACGACTAACGTCTGTAATGGTCAACTAAGTAAATAAGAAATATTTTCGACTCAATTCGGATATACTTGTTGGTCCAGGTACGGACTAATTATTAACCAAGAGGCATATCAGAAACTTATCCACTCATAAAAACCATTTATTCGCTAATTAATTGTTATCCAATTATTTGCAAATGTGAATATATTAAAATATATTAATATTAATATATAATATATATTTATATCTATATTAAAATATATAATATTATAATATGTATATTACATATTTTTAAATAAAATTACATTATACAAAAATGACTCTTGCTCAATAATTGGTCTAAGAGTCACATCAGAGTAATGTAGTTTTATTTTAAACCTATATATATTCAAAGTTGCAAATAAGAAAAATATATTTCTAAACTAATTGATTACTTTTGTACGAGCGGATGTACAATAATTATGAGCTGGCATATCGGTATGACCAGCCAGTTCTGACTACTTATATACACTTTAATAAGGTAGCACATATCGAAGATTTGAAGTTAGAGTTCCCTTAAATACTGGTCCACTTAAAATTGATTTTTGTTTAAATTATTAAATTAATTTAAATAAATAATTGATGCCACTCTCGTTACAATAAACAATCTCAATAAATCTTATTGAAATTTATTCTTACAAATTTATGCTTGTAATAAACTTCATATGATTTAGGGAATATGCTATAGTTTTATTTTCTACAATTTAATTAATATTAATAGTTTTATATGAATTTACTTACAACATTATTTCTACTATAGATGACAGATCCGTGTGCTACATGAGGTTTGTAATAATACGAGTAGGCAATGTTATCAGAATTTTGTTGATTTTGTTGTTGTGATTGTGATAATTGTTGGTGGTGTTGCTGTGATTGTTGCTGATGATTGTTATTATTGTTATTAGTTCTAATGCTGTTAAGAAACTTATTTTTACTATTTAAATTAAAACTACTACTGCTACTACTGCTGCTGCTGCTGCTTAGTTTATTAATAAGTCTATTTGCATAAATGTCGCCGGCAACATTTTTATTGTTGCTACTACTCCCACTATTCTGACTACTGCTATCTACTGCTATTGTTTGTTTGTAACTTTCTACGATGGTGCCAACATTTCCTAAATTTGCTGCTAAAAATGGTGCCATTGATTTGTTGTTTGTTGCATTTGCCGTTTGTATTGGTACAGATGGCATACGCTGTTCGCTGTATGTTGCTATAATTCTTTTTGTAGTATTTATTGTTGTTTTTCTTGTTGTTGTTGTCGGTGTTATTGTTGTTGTTGTTGTTACTGCTGCTATTGGTAGTGTATCTGTTGTTGATTGTTTTGTTTGGAGTTGAAAATTGTGCAAATCTGTGTGTGCGTATGCAGTTACACGCATTGGCATGCTTATTGATGTTGCTGCTACTGTTGCTGTTGGAGCGTATATAATTATTAGCAACATTGTGACAGCGAACCACAGTAAAGACATTAGTTTCGTGTTTAGACTCCATTTGCGCAATATTCGCGCATACATGGCGTCCCGAAAATAGGTGGCAAAATTTTATTCTGCAAAAATATTGTTAAATCACCTTTAATGTTTTCTTCTTCTTCTATTATCTGTTAGTATTGTTTAAGTTTTCGTTTTTAATTAAATATTATTGTTTATATGTTGTATTTTAACTGGAAGTCACTTTTTTCTTTATTGAAACATTTATTTAAATTGTTTGTTTTTTTTTTTTTTTGATTTCTAGCTTCTTCTGCGTTAATGTTGCTGCAACATTTGTGTGCTGGTTATACATTTCAGCGGCGCCTGCACGACTTTTCGTTTGTCCTTCGCCAATTTATTTTCAAAGTTAATGAAATGTTGCCACAGGAAACGTTGAATAAGCTTCATTGTTAGAAAGATTGCTTACTTTTGTTTATTTTATTTCTTTTTTTTAACACTTAAGTTTCAACTTTGTTTTTCAATTTATTTGCATTCAATTTATTTTTTTTAAATTTTCATTATAATTGTTTTGTTTAATGTATGAAATTTCTTCTCTCTGAAATGATAAATTTTTAAAAAAATATCACAAAAATATAATTTTTTATTTGCTGTCACTTGACGTAACACAAATTTAGCATAAAACTAAGATTTCTTCTCTTTTTGTTGTTATATTAATGGTTTTGTTGTTGTAGATGTTGTTTGTAGTTGCTAATTATGATGCTGTTGTTGATTTAAAGTGAGTCATTTCAAAAAATGTACAGATAAAAGTATAATAAAAACGAGATCATAAATAAAAAAGTGTCGCAGAATTTTTTCCTGTTATTACTCGTATTTTTTTTTTTCATTTTAACACTTCAATAACAATAGACTTTGGTACGAAACACACGTCATGTTGCTGATAGTAAAATTATCGCTTTTTATCTGTAAAAACAAACAATTCGCGTTGTTTTTCTCATCACAGTTATTTGGGGTGTTTAACGAAAATGTCTTTTTTTTGACTTTGTAGTAAATTGTTTATATGAACTAAAGTTTATTTGTTTTAAATGCGGAGGAGTTATCTCAATCCAGAAGCTGACGGCAATTATACGTGAAAAAAAAATAGATGCTACAATTGTGTTGATTTTGTATTGGAAAAGGTTCCTAGTGAAATTGAATATATTGCAAAAATAAGCAATTTAATAAGCAAAATAAAGGACATTAGTTTTTAATATAAATATTGACATAAGTTAAATGTTTATTGATTGGAGTAGTCGAAGAAGTTTTATGAGAAATGTATTTCTTTAGGAAAGGGTACCATTTAAAGTTGCTACCACTAATCACTGGAGAAACATTTTAAAACACAGGAATATTATATGAAAGTTAAAATTAATTCAATTTTAAGAAGTTTTTTAAAACTGAAATCCGTAAAATTAACCGAATTCAAATTGCTTAATTTATAAGCAGTTGGATAGTAAAAATCTATATATTATGTGCACATGAATTAATTAAAAATTTTCATTCCTTGAAGTTATATTTTCTTCCACTTTCCGATATCTAGCGATTCAGCGTATTGTACTCAAATAAAAAATCATGTTTCAGACTAAAAATTTGTTTTGTAGGTGCGTCCGCAAATGGTGAGAACCTACATATACATATGAATATAAAAAATAAACACAAATTATGTTTATACATACATTTTTATATTTATATTTATTTGTTTAAAAGGAGACATTTCTACATAATTTCACGTAACGATGACGCGGCGATGTTACGTATACATTAAATTTGGCGAGAAATAAAAATCTATGCTAATGACTGACTGACTCTTCTTCTATCATTGCCGTAAAATATTTCTAATTTTGCATAAAAGGAGAGAACACTGTAGAGCCAAGGTTTTTGAATACTTTAATTTTACGAGTATTTGTAGGCTCATTTTTGATGTGTTCTGTTATTTACTAATACACAAAATTTATGTTCATGTTTGTATTTTCATTCTTATATTAAATTTTCTTTTTAAATTTGTGAACTTAATAAACATTACTTCGTCACTGTTGAGTGATTTGCATGTCACACACCGTTGCTGTTTTAAATATTGTTTGCAACATCAACACAGTAGTCTGTCTATTTTTACCGATTTTCGAGTAAAAAGCATTTTTGTTTGAAATAAAAGTATATAACTTGATGACTATGACGACAGTGACTATATTACAAACAGCGTCGCAAATATCTACATAAAAATTGACATTTTCTATAACAAAAAATATTTAAATAATATATTAAATTTAATGCAACAAATTAAATAAAATTTAATTCCAATCGCAACATCACAACAATAATTCTGAGAATGCGCAAAGTAAACAACAATCTGTTGTTACAGATTAACAACAGTAATTGTGGTTATTGTTACAGCGCAAAGGTATCAATAACACTACTAAAACGACAACAATAATTAAAATTAGTGTGTGCTTAATAAAGTTACTCATACTTCTGTTAACTTTTTTATGTCACTGTTAAATACTCGTACATGCACATAGTGTCTTAGCATATATGTATGTAGTTTGAAGCATTTTCAATAAGGAAAAGCTGAAAAGTGTAATTGTGTGCTGGTGCTTTCATATTAAACGAAAATGCCATAACAGTTCTTTACATTATAATTTATTATTGAACTTTTGGTTTTTGCATTTTGTGTTCTGCAAATGCTTGTGTATGTCATGTGAGAAAATGGAAGGAAACTGCACAACACAGCAGCAGGAAACAGAAGAAGCGCTGTAGCTGTAACAGAACAATTTTTCGCCCTAATAATAGCAGGCAATATGAATTGTTGGTATTTTAGAGGATTTGTACCGGAAAGCGAAACATTCAGTAAAATTTCTACAGTAAATGGCGTAAAGTGCATATATATACATATGTAATAGCACTTCGAAAATGGAAAAACGTCTGCGAGTATGATGTTTGCGTAAGTATATGTAGATATACATGTGCTATAGCAGAGCAGACTGAATAAAGTTAATCTATGCGAAATGTTGCTGCAGTTTTATTCCTTTTTTTAAATGTATTACAGTTGCTGTAAATATTGTTGCACATTCTAACTCTCATAACAAAATTGTTGCTATGCCTTTGAATGTTTTCGTTGTTAAAGCTGTTGAAGCTAATAATGTTGCCACAGATGTTGTTGCTGCAGCAAGTTGACGATAATTTTTTGTCGTTACTGTGTAATGCACAATTAAAATTGCTGTTGTTTATTTTGTGTTTTGTATTTTGTATTTTGCATTTTGCGTTTTTGAATTAAATGCTTATATGCTTATTTTTGTTGCAAAAGTTAATGTAGCAGCAGATGAAGAAGAAGAGCAGCAACAGCAGCTGCTGAGGTCTCTGTGCTGTTGTTGATTGTATGGTTGTTGGCTGTTGGCTGCTGTTATTCTTTATGCGCTGCGCTGTGTGTGCTAATGTGTGTTGATGTGCGATATGCCAGACACACACATTTTCTAATTTTAGACAAAAGTAATTATAACAACAAAAAGGAAAAATAATGAAAAACCATTTAAAAAAAGTTTTTTGTTTTTGTAAAAAATTGACTATTGAGTCTACGAGACAGCGACGTGTGTGAAGTTGTGGAAAATTCGTTTTAAATATCTTTTACATTCAGAATTATTTTTTAAATATTCCGATATGAAGTCAACAAAAATTCAATAATATTTAAAAAAATTTATAAAAATTCAAATATCTCAATTTAATATGTAACTGATTTCTATTTGTAAAATTATATTTTTTTTTTGTTTAATATTTATTTGCTTATTTTAATTTTCACCTTAAAATTTTTTCACTTATTAAATAATAAAAAATAATTTTATTTTTTATATTTATTTGAAATTTAGTTATGAAACTGAAATTATTCTTCGATTCGATTTTGTAATTTTTCAATTTTCACAACATAATTTTTAAAAAATTTCATGAAATTTTATTATGCTTTTACACTAAAAATATATAAATAAATTTTCTTTTTTTTCTTAAATCTCGACTCGTTTCGTTTATATTTTTATTCGCGTTCGATATATGCGTTCACGGTGTAAAATCGAGAATGATGCCGCTGGTGAGCGCTTTTGTAAATAGACCATCGCCGGCCGTCGTCGTAGCGCTCGGAAAACTTTGAAATTGTCGAGCAATAAAATCGCCGAGTGTTTTTTTACTTTGGATTGAGCATATGAGAAAATTGCTACTACATTTTCCTTCTAAATGAACATATATATACATATATAAATATATATAATTTCTATATATGTACATATAAATTATGTATATAGCATATTCATATATCAAGCACATATGGAGTAATATTTTTTGTTTGAAAAGTCTGCTAATTTTTTATTGTTTCAGTAAAATTAAGATTTATGATATATATATAAAAAATTTGTTTTTATTAATTACACTCGAAATTGTTAAGCTATTGAAAGCACAAGCCTATTACTTTTATTAAACATATTTAAAATATTTCTATTACAACAGATTATGCAATTTTAAACTGAACCGTCCGCTTCGACTTGCAATTAACACGGCTGACGTTCTAAAACTAAAAACATTTATTTCAAAGATACAACAAGATACACGAACCTAATACTTATGCACTTCCGAACTTGTTCGCAACATGTTCGGCCGCAATGCTAGCACCTACAGTGGTCGTTTTATATAATATTTTAAAATGAAAATGTGAGCTGCTTGTAGCTGATATGCCAATATACTTCATTGAGTTAAAATATGATATGATAAAAATAATTATTAGCTAAGATAAATAATTACAGGATATAAGATATGTGAAGATCATGACTACTTTATATTGATATATAAATAATAAGTAACTAAAAATCTAACTAGTCATATAACTGGATGCAACGACTCCTGCCTTTTTTGATTAGAAGCCACAATGAGTGCGTATATAGCACTCTCTGAGTAAATTATGTGGATTTATTAAAGGCTTTTAATTCCCATATGTAATAATTCCTATAAGTAATTGTGAATAGATTCAATACAAGCCATTAGGTCTAAGTGTCCTCAACTCAGTTCTCATCGTACCTAAGCTCATATATAGTAGATCAATATTGGCGTTGATAAATTCACCGTTTAATTAATTTTAGATTCGATATAACAGTTAAAAAATGAACGCAATGTGAATGACAGTTAATGTTGAGCTAGATTAACTTTAATATTAATAATTATTAATAAT